CAGCGGGCAGGTGGGCACTGGTGGGGTACGGGGTGTGCACGACAGGTCCAATGGGCAGATGGCATCTGTCATAAGGCTTGACACTGTAGGGGTGATCGGCATGGGTGTCATGCAGGGAGGTGGGACTGAAAAAGATGTGGATCTCTCGGGAAGGTGGGCACCGCAGGGGAATGGGTATCTACTGGGTTGTAAGCACTACAGGACTGTGCTCCTAATACAACAGTGTGCACAGCTGGGCAGTGGAGTAGGTGGATGCCAATGGGCCGTCGGGCACTGACATTTGGTGGGCATAAATGGGCAGGTGGAGGCGGGCAGGGTGAGCCAGGCCAGGTGGGTGCTGATCGGTGGCAGGGTGGCAGCAGGGGCATTTGAGTGTGCCAGAAGAACAAAGCATGCCTGGTAGCCCTCATCCTTTGGCATGCACTCTCATCGTGCTTGGAGCATCTCAGTTTGGGGAGACCATCTGGCCCTGCAGCCTGTCCCCAGCCCTACCGTCTTACCGTGTTTGGGGTCATTCTCCAATCCCTGCCCTGCCCTCGCAGCCCTGCCCCATCCTCTCCCCACTGACCTGCTGGTTCAGGGGAGCCCACGCCATCCTGCTCTGCCCCATCCCACAGCTGCACTGTGTCTGTTCCAGCCCTGCCCCAACCCTGCTTGCCTGCAGATGTGGCTGGCTCAGGATGCTCCTGTGGCCATCCCTCGCATCGGGGGGTCTTGGCTCCAGCTGAGACACTGCAGAAAGTGCCCTTCTTTGGGGAGGATGATAAGCCAGGGCAGTGAGGGGTCTCAAGTGCGCCATCTCTTGCTCGCCCCCAAAGCCCTTTCCCTGTGCCAGAGCTCAGTGCTCACTGCTAGGGCAAGATGTGCGAGGCAGGCACATAGCCCAGCCAGAGCCACTCCCCAGCTGTGGGGCTGAGCCTGTGGGCTGGTTCAGAGCCCACATGCCTCTTGCTCCCCTTGCAGAGGTGACTCTGGATCTGCGGAATGCCCCCATCCGTATCACCACCATCCCCAGCAGCGTCAGCAGCATCTGCAACATCAGCAGTGTCAGCAGTAATGTCACCAAGGTGAGTGCCCAGGGGGTCTGTGGAGCTGTGCTCCACCTGGCCATTATGTGGCAGCTCCAAGGCATGGGGACCAGGGACCAAGGAGTTAGTGTAGGCAGTGTGCCGCAGAGGCTCTGTCTGGTTTTGGTTGGTGCTTTTGTTTTGATAGGGTTTTTTTTCATCAAGAGACCCTGGACTTTGTGTTTGGTTGCACAGCCCTAAATGAGCCCCCTGCACTCTGGACTGTGCCACCATGTACTCACACCTGGGGAGGTGCGCAGAGGGGGACAAGGAATCTTTTGTGGGTCTTGCTTTGTTTTAAACACCTTTAAGGGTGGCAGCAGCTCAAGGAAAAACCCATTGCCAACCACCCCTCTGTTTTTCCTCGTGGGGATGGGCCTTGGCCATGTGTCTGGGGAGCCTGCCTTGGAGGGGGGCTACTCCTCAAAGGTCTCTAAAGCACTCTGGAGCTGTGGGTTGGGGTCTTTCATGTTTCTGCTATGCCATCCTGAGTGGAGAGTGCTCAAAGCCCCAGCCTGCCGGGGAGGGATTCTTGGGGCAACTGAAAGAAAAAAAAACCTGAAAAAACAACCCTTTTGCAGAGAGGGCAGGCTGTGAGGCTGTGGCCATCCTGGGGCTGGGTGCACACAGGAGACAGCCCTTCAAGTGTTTTAATCTGCTCCTGCCCATCTAGGGTAATGCAAGGCGTCTGTGTGCCGCCTTGGCAGGAGCCACGATGTCAAACGTGGCTCTGTTTCACTCATGGCCCTGCGCACGCCTGGCTGCCTCTGCAGGAACAGCCCTGTGGGTGGCCTGTGTCACTGCCAGTGGCTGTGGTACCAGTGGCTTACCCCATCCTCAGCCCAGCCCTTGCCAGCATGAGGCAGGCAGTGCCCACAGGTGCTGCCCACACCTGCCAGCAGGTCCTGCCTGTGGGCAGCTGGCTGCACTGGGGTGACTTCCATGTGCCAATGCGCTTGGGCATGCTTGGCCCAAGCACTTGTCAGCTCTCATTAAGGTATTAATGGGTCTGTCCTGAGACCCATTGGCTGCCATGGCAGGAGATGCAGCTTCCAGGTATGCTCCCGGTGGGCAGTGAGGAGGAGGAGGATGAGGCAGTGGCGCTGGCAGCTCTGCCATGTAGGGATTGGTTGGAGGACCAGCAGGCTGTAGGGACCTGGGTGTAGCCACGGTGGCATGTCTTCTCGTTGGTGCGGTGCTGCCTTTACCTGTGCAGGGACCCACTCCCCCTGGGCCAGGCATTGGGGAGCACAGGGGTATGAAGACCTAAAATTCATGCTGTGACCAAGGCCCTTGCACCAATGCCAGCCTGGAGCTGGAGATGTTGTGCTGTGGGTGATGCTGGCCCAGAGTGGGAAGTCTCTTGGGCAGAAGAACATAGCAGTGGTTGGCTTTTTCATTCACCCAGCACTGCCGTGGTCAGGGCTGGTCCCCACCAGCCCCTAGGCTGGTATCTGGCCCTGGCAGCCTCCAGGGGTGGGGGGGCCTCTTGCAGGGCTCCCCTTGCTGAGCCACCTGGTCCCACAGCCGGATGTGCTGCCAAGTGTGGCGCCTGGCTCAGCACCCCTGCACGGGACCCCCGGCTGCTGGGACCAGAATAGCCCACAGGCAGGGAGCGGGCCAGCCTCCAGCCGGGGGGGTGCCTGGGCCCCTATAAAGGGCAGCAGGACAGCTGAGCGGGGCTCGCCGCAGCGCCTGCACCGCCATCATGCCAGGGCTCAGCTTGGAGGGACTGGCGCAGGCTGGGGTGGCAGAGCTGGCAGAGCTGCGGCAGGAGCTGGTGGCGTTCCGGGGGGCAGCAGAGGGGCAGCTGGAGCGGGCTCTGCAGCGAGTGCAGGCACTGGCACAGGCACTGCAGACATTGGAACAGGAGCACCTGGAGTTACGGGCAGAGCTGGGGCGCCTGGGCCGCCGCCTCGATCTGCTGGCACCAGGGCTGCAGGTGCCCCCCAGGGAGGACATCAGCACCCTCTTTCTGGAAGCACAGGACCCTTGCGCTCACTTTGAGGGCACTGAGGAGCCCAGTGTCCCTGTGGCCCATCCACCCACTTTCTCCAGTACGCGCCAGCAATCAACCGTGCATCTCTCCCGAAGCAACAGCAGCGTGAGTGTGGGCAGCCCTGCCCCATGACAGGGGGAAGGGAGGGGGTCACCAGCCCCCAGGGCTCCTGGGGGTATTTGTAGCCCTGGCACAAGGCGTGACTGTGGCAGTGGTGCACGGGGACACGGCACCGTGGGGATCTGCCGCTCCTTGGGCTCACTGTGGTGGGGCTGTGCACCCACCTATTTTGCATTCCCAGTGTGCCAGGTGGGAGGCCCCAGGCAGCAGTCTTGCCTCCACCACAGCACCAGGCACAGGTGGTGGCATGGGTGCATGGGCCAGTGTTAACTCCGACTGATGGCTTTGCCACGGATCGGTTTACCAGGTCACAGGATGCAGGATGGGACCAGGTGTGTGCATGGCTGCTCTGGCCGCAGTCTGTCATCTCTGGTGCCCTGTGCCCTATTCTGGGCCTGGCCCGCTGCCTGCTATGCATTGCTGGGGGGTTGTGCTGAAAGGGACTTGGCTGTGCTCAGGCAGGGGCCGAACTGGCTTAGATCCTGGCAGGGATGCAGAGGAAGGCTCTTGACCTGCTGCACAAGCTCTTCTCTACACTAAGTCCCTTAATTCCGTGAAAATCCCTGTGCTGCTAATGGTGTGCACTGGCCTTGCCGACACCTTGCCCACTGCTGGGTAACAGCCACTGCCCGGCCCAGAGCTGTGGGCAACTCCTGCTTGCTGGGGGACCCAGCCACCTCCTACCAGGGAGCAGAGAGGATTTGGAGATATTATGGCAGCCAGACTGGAAGGAAGAGAGGGACTGCTGGGTCTTCCTGGGGCATGGGGTGCTGCAGATTGCCATGTTCCCCTGCCTGCCTTGGGCGCTGCAGATGCTTGCAGCACCCACCAGCTGAGAACACTTAGGCACATCCTCTCTACGGTTCTCACTGCCTGTGGCACTGGGCAGGTGTCAGGGTGATGAGGGCCTGGACCCTGAGAAGCGGTGGGGGTGTGGCCAAGCTGGCAGGGGGCTCAGCTGCATTGTGATGTTCTTGCAGATGGAGCCAGAGGTGG